GGGGCGGGCCCACAGGGCAGGACTTCTGCAAGTGCGGTTCGGGCCTCTTGCCCACGCTGCTCGCTGGGAGCTCTGTGACCTGCTCAGAGCCTTACGTCATCGTTACCTGCAGCAGAGCAGGTGTGATGGTCACAGAGGCGGAGTACTGGTGGGGTTTCTCACCCCTGGTGCCGGGTTGTCTCGGTTCCTGACCTGTGTGGTGTCTACAAAGGTTGCTCTGTTTATTCCCCTCGGGTTCGCAGGGTAAGGATGTTTATGAAGGGGAGCCGAATTGTAGCCTGGATTTCCAGGGCACCTGTGCTGGTGGCCTTCTGGCTCACAGATGCTTCAGATTCTTCCTAGAGGCATGGGCTGGAAGGAGAGATGGGGAGGAGGGTGGGCTGGGGGGACGCCCCTGGAATGAGTGGAGGCTTCCTTAGCTGCTTTCTGGATTAAATGATTTATTTCTGTGTTTTTTTTTTTTATTTTTTATTTGCATTTCTCTGTCAATGCTAGGCTTGTCTCTCTGGGATTGCGAAGAAACATTTTGCATTGACATATCCTTCACAAAAATATCAGGGGTGTTTGTCTCTAAAGAGGCTTCACTTCACATATTTTCCAAAACCGATGGATTCTGGATCAAATTAGATGCAGGTGCTGAAGCCTGAAGCAAAGTCCGTAAGGATTAGCTCCTCGGTGGTTCTGCAGGCAGAGTTGTGGCACAGGTGTTCCCCTTCCCCCTGGTGACAGCTGAGAGCCTCCAGGAGTGAGTGGGGGCAAGTTAAGGTGTTGTGGGTCTCTGGGAAGGGGAGGGAAGAGAGCGGAGGTGGGGGAGGAAGGGTTTCTTCTGCAGAACCTTGATGAGAAGAAGCTAGGAGATCCGGGCTTATCCTTTGCCAAAGCCCAAGAGGTCAGGGTGGGGGGCCAGCTGGAGGCTACTTAGCACCCAGAAACCTGATTTCCTTCCACAAGTGTCCGACACAGCTGAGTGTGAAGAGGCCCGTGGAACAGCTTCTCTCTGTTGCTGCCTCTGATTTGTCCTGATTCTTGACATTAATGCCAGCTTTCAGGACTGTTACTGAGGTTTTGTGAACGTCACAGCACTGTCCTTTGAATAGGTAACTGGCCATACCTGTGTCTGATGGGCACCGTTTAGGGGTCGGGAAGGCCCACTTAAAAAAGGATGTTTCAGACCGGAATTATGGACACCTGTGGAATTATGGCCAGTTGGCACCTCCGAGCCACCCTGAGAAGGCCCTAGGCTGCCCCTTCATGGCTGCTCTCAGGCGGTGCTGGGGAGATGGCCTTTTGGGGGCTCCCGGCTCAGCCCTGCTCGCCCTCTAGTGCTACCAGGACTATAACTTCCTCTGCAGAAATTCCTCATGGTTCAGTTTTTGGCATTCTTGAGTTGCAAGCAAGGTGACCTGGTTCAGGTTGATGACAAAGTCATTGGTTTTCTCCTCACGCAGGATGGACCGTCGGGCTCAGGTGTTCGGAAGGCCAGCAGCCCTCGCCCCCTCTGTCGGTGGCCTGTGGAGTGGGAGCCACAGTCATGAGTTAGTTTTTCATAAAGTAGAAACTAAAAGAATGAATCTTTATTCTGCGATAAAACTCTTCTTCAGTGTTTAGTGTTAAAAAGTCTGTTCTCTGAAAAATGACAGTGGTGATGGGGTGGTGGTTGTCTGTAGCTCACAGGGACCAGCCCCGTGAGCCCCAGAAACGTGGCTGTGTCAGCGAGCCCCATTATGACAAGTTCACACTGAGGTTGCTGATTAGGGCAGGGCCTTCTTGGGGAGATACAGTTCTTCTCTTGTGGTTTTGTTCTCCTCTGGGACCCTGGAGTCTTCTGGATGCGTCCTGTGGACTGGGAGAGAAAACAGAAGGCTGTGTGGGGCCGGCACGGGTGGCACTAATTTCCTTCTCCCACATTCTCTGGGCTGGAACTCAGGCCCACACCCTCTGCATGGCAGTCTGGACAGGGGCCTGCTGTGTCCTCAGAAGCACAGGAAGTAGTGCAGCCAGCTAGACTCTGACACAGTGGCTGTTTTGTTAATGTCCTTACCTGGCAAAATACGAGTGGCCAATCCTCTTCTGGCCTTCTTGATTTATTATTTTATAGGTTTACAAAATCCAGCAGTCTGGAGTACTGTTAGGAATACTCCAAAGGTCATTTCTGTAGAGTCCTGGCAAAGTTTCCTTACTTTCGTTTCAAAATTACATCTACAGTGGGATGGTTTCTCCTTGTTTGAACTAAGGAGGAACAGTTTCACCTGCAGGATGAACAGCAGATTGGAAGTGGGTGGTCTTTGAGCTAGGCACTGTTTTTTGAGGGAGCTGTGTAGTGTTTTGGATACAAACCTCAGGTTGGGGTTTGTGCCATGTATAAATAAGGATGAAAGTAACCAAAGATTGATTTGCAAAGCATAAAAATCAGCAAAGTGATTGGTTATACCCATGAGATTCTGAGGAGGATTTCTGTTTGCAATCCATTTGTATTTAAAATGGGGGGGCCTCCTTGGTGGTGCAGGGGGTTGAAGTGCAGCACTATGAAGCCATCTGCAGCCACTGCAGCATGAGTTTGATCCCCAGCCTGGGAGGTGTGGCAGACCTCTCCTGACCTACCCATTACTCCTCTCTGTAGTGTATTTCGGTACACCTGCCTGTTCTGGTGAATCCTCACACCCCTGCACCTCTGGCCTGTACCCCAGTTCTTGTATACATAAATAAACAAATCTTTAAAAAAAAACAAAATGGGGGAGCACTGGTGTTTATTCCTGGGGACGTGGAGTCTGGGAATATGCGTGGGAGGAAAAACAGGCCTCCCTCACCCAGTGCTCCAGAAAAGTCATTTCGAGTGACAAGGTCACTTGCGTAGGACGGTCTTGGTTTTAAGGGTGATGAGGTCACTTGCGTAGGACGGTCTTGGTTTTGATTGCTACGACCGTTCTTGTTGGGCACGCTAAGCCCTGTGCTGCTTTGGTCTCTTTCAGGTCAGCCTGAATGACTCCCACAATCAGATGGTGGTGCACTGGGCCGGAGAGAAGAGCAACGTGATCGTGGCCTTAGCCCGAGACAGCCTGGCGTTGGCACGGCCCAAGAGCAGTGATGTGAGTATGGGGTTGTTCTGTGGGGCCAGCATACCCCACTGAGACCATGGCAGAAAAGCATAGCACCCACTGGATGGGACGGATTCTCTGACAGGAAGAGAATCCAGAAAACAACATCACTTCCTTATTTGCTGGTCACAGTAATGAGGTCAGGGTTGCAAACATCCCTGCCACATGGATTGTTTTTCTGACCTCCTGGGATAGGCACTGTACCCCCACTTTGGCAAAATGCCCCATGGGCTTGGCTGGCAGCGCTGGGGCTGCAACAGGGTCCGATGGAATCCTACTGGCTTTTCCCGTGTGATTATTCTTCTAACTCACTGGACTCCAGTGAGCTGAATTTGATTCTGCGTAGTCTTTTCCATAGTTGACTTTATAGTTGAGGGGCTTTGAAGACATAAGGCAAAGAGTTGCCCATTCAAAGGCTTTGGAGGGCGGGCAGGGGTGAAGCAGCCTGTAAGCTTACGACACTCTCTACCTCTACAGAGAAGAGGATCTTTCTTATCTTGAAGCATGTGACCCTCTGGAACAATGTGTAGTTTTCCTATTTTTGATAGAGATTCAAGAAACATTCACCTGTATGTAATTTGAAGGTGGTGATTGATACTTGGTTGCAGTGTTCAAGAGACACTAGAATAATGGTAAGGAACCTTGGTGAATTGGAGATCATTTCTAGGGGGTGCTGTTTTAGGGTCTTAGTTTGGTCCCCGTGCCCAAAGCAGGGATCAGTGTACCCCTGTTTTGAGTTTTCAAGAGACGCTCAGAGGCCTGGATTTTTATGTGAAGAATTTTATGTGACTCTTACAAGTTGGCAGGTAATGTGTAATTTTTATAAACCATGTTTGAGCCAAGAAAAACATACATGAGGGTCAGAGTTGGCTCCTTGTCCCGGTCTGTGCTCCAAGTCCCTGTCCCAGATTCCCCTTGTGGGGATGAAGAACAGCCCTGCCGTAGGTTCTGGTCTGCCCTGGTGACATGGGGGAGGCTGCGGACATAAAACAGACCATGGTGTTTTGGTTCCCCTGTGCTCTGGCCAAAAGAAACCTCATGATGAGTTTGCTAGCACTTTTATATAAGCCTGAGGATACAGTTAATTCTCGAGTGTAAGTTTGGTTTCTGTGAGGCCCCCGCTCACTGCAAATCCACTGTCTTGCTTGGATGTGCTCCGAGGCAGGTGACCTGAGGGAGCCCCTGGGGTTGTTTCTTGGTGGGTTGGATCAGGACAACCACAGTCAGGGAGGGCAGGAGAAGGGCAGCTGTCATGATGGGTAGCTTTGCCCAGGTGGTGCTGAGCAGTGGCTGGTGGGAAGCCTTGTATTGACAGCCGGTCTGGGTGTAATGAGCTTGGGCAGGGACTTTGCTCCATTTACAGACGAGATCCATTTATAAGCATGAGGCTTGTTGGCTCTGTGAGGGTCAACAGACACCGGGTGGGGGGTGGTATTCTGCATAGGCTGCCCTTAGACGTCCTTTATGAGCCAGGAGATGGCTCTATACCCTGCTTTATGGAGAAATCCTCCTGAGGTTTTTATGCATTTAAGCCATCTTTAGACAGATTTTTGTGAGGTTGTTAAAGGCTTGATTCTTCTCTTATGGTTTGGATGGACGAACAGGAACTTTGAGACATTGACTTACATGTGGCCTCATGGAGAGACAGACATGTTCTGCGTGTGAGGATGTAGGGTGAGGACCTGTGAGGGTTTCAGTCCTGGTAGTTGGATATCCTGAGACCGCCCCCCCCCCCATCCTAGACCTGGACAGATACCCTTGCTGTTGCCAGACTACCCACACCCGATTCTCGTTCTCCACATACTTGGGTGTATCTTAACCTATTGAACATTCGAAGTGACAGACTATTCTGGAATGGAATATATAAGATTAAATGGAAGGACACTTAAAGCATAGAGATAAATAGGGAGGGCAGAGATATCCCCCCTCTGGATACAAGCTACATTAAAAATTGGCAGATAAAACTAAGATGCTCTGATGTGGAAAGTTAATGCAAAAATAAATCATGACTCAGAGGCAGGAGTTGGCAATGCCAGACTAGTAACGATCCACGTTTCGTTAAAGAAGACTGGAAGCAGCGTAGGGTCCTCAAGCAGTCCAGCGAGAGAAAACCTCTACAAATAAGGCAGTGTGCAAGTGCTGGAATGTGGCGATGCCATGCATATTCAGTGTCTAGAAAGGGCTGGATCTGGAAGCTGGAATCCCAGATTTGCTCTTCAACAAGGGGCAAAACATATGAATAACGATCTAGGGAGTGTGAAGGGTATGAGTCCATGAAGCTATGAGTCCATCAAGACCAGCTCCTGCAAACCATTGATTGGCTGTGATGTGCAGTAGATGGAAGGAAACAGTGGGTGTTATCTGTCTCCACCCTTCCCACTTCTCTGTTTCTATCCTTTTCTTACAAATGCATAAAGCATGTGGGGGCATTATTAACAGCCAGAGAGCTGTCCAGAGATAGTGTCTGCAGATGCTCAGAATTGACCAGGTAAGCGGTCAGGAGTGGCAGGACTGGCAGCCCTTGCCCCCACAGTGTGCCAGGATCATGCCCCTTAGAAGACCCGAGAGCAGGGTTGAGATGTGGTAGTAGCACAGAACGTGGTGGGGCTGATGTCCAGCTGAGCAGCGGCTCTGAGATGAGACACCTGGGTTAAAGCCTCACCCCTCGCTCACAGGCTGACCTCGGCCCAAGTCATTCTCTTGGCTCATCTGTCCATGAGATTGTACTTGTTAAACCTGCTCCCCAAAGTGTGGTCTGTGGATTAGTCCTGTGGGTGTTTCTGGGAACTGGTTAGAAATGCAGACTCTCAGGGCTACTCTAGCTTCTAGAATCAGAATCTGTATTTTGATCCTCACCCTGCCTGCGGGCTGACTTGTAGGCAGGTCAGAGAAGCCACGGTGTCAGGTTCTTAGAATAGTACCAGATAAGGAGATGTTTTCTGTTCATTTTAACCCTTCTCCACGCCTCATTTCCCTTCTGCCTCTGCTCCCCTGCTCCCCACTATTGTATGGTTTCCAAGTACAGGAAACGATTGTAAAGCTATTCAAAGGACCATCTTTCTATTTCTAGTAAGACAGTAGTCTAAGTGGCAACTTCCAGTAGCTCCCACCCCGCTTAACTAGCTAAGTCAGGGAGTTGCGCCTTACTGAAGTCAGAGGACTGATTAGCGCAGGAAGCTATGTCTGGAAGACAAACAAGTGGTAGAAAAAGATGATGAGAGAGTGTAGGGGGTCTGTCTCGATCAACCTGGAGGACACAGTGAGCAGTGAGTGAGTCAGGAGCTGGTGCTGCCCCGAGGAAGGACAGTCCAAACCAGGATGTCTGGGGAGGGGTGGACACTGGAGCTGGGAGGTCACTGCCTGCTGGGCATTGCCCGGGCTCGTGGGGACAAGCAGGTAGCTGGGCTGAGCATACATGGCTTTGAGTTTGGTGTTGACCTCGGCTATCTGAGGGTCTATGTTAATCACGAAGAAGGAGAGAACAGGCTGGAAATACTGTGTTGGGATTATCAACCTAGAAAAGGGAAGGAAGGTGGATGAGCCCCTGATGCTGGCCTCCTGGCATCAGATGGAACCCCACATTCTTACTCTGAACTTCTGTTCAATATACGAGCCAACTAGATGGGTGTTGCTGATGGAGAATCAAGAACGTCTGGTTGTGAGGGTGGTGGTTGTACCTCGGAGTGTAAAATACAGCCGCCTGGTTGAGCATCTTGGCAACAACAGCTCTGTGCTTTGTTTCTGTTGGTCTGTTCTCCCCCCCCCCCCTCCAATGTGTCTTCTGTCATCTGGCCTGCAGATCTGGGGTGTGACCACCCCCTTGAACAGACCCTCATGTATGTAGTAGAGAACCTTCCAGAGGGTTAAGTTGCAAGAGTGGAAAGACAGCTCGACTTGGCATTGGTGCAACAGGGCAGCTTTGTCAGTTACTAGCTGTAGGAGCTGGCACTGGGCATTCACTTCTGAGTCTTTGTTTTTTGCTGTCTCGTACATGGAAATAATGATCCACTCAGTCACTTGCCATTCATTTGCATGTTTTTATTCACTTATGGAACACCTTCATGTACTCACTCTGTGGTCTGTAATGACATTTATTCACTCCAGAAGCCTTGAGTGAAAACTTGCTATTTACCAGGTACTGTGGAGGAGGCAAACGTGAGCCTAACTCAGTTTCTAAAGATGAGGACAGATAAGAACACACAAAAGAGTACTGTATTCTGAAACATGCAGCCCTAACATGACCTTGCTATCACATCTGTGCCTCCGAGGAGGTAACCCTAGAGGATTATCAGTTCGCTGCTGCTCGAAGGGATCTGAGTCTCTTTTTGAGATGCCTCTCGTTGGCTGCATGTGACTTTTGAGTCTCTTGGGGCCTCCTACTGTCCCTTCTTGGCCAGGAGAATGGAAATGAGAAAGTACCACTGGCTTTTACCCACTCGATGGTGTGTGAGCTCTGAGCCTGCTGAACTTCTGAAGCTGCCTTTGTGTTTGGTAGTCGGGAACATGCTGTGTTTAAGCCTGTGTGTTCGTAATAGGATTTCTTCTCCTGTGACCCAGATATTGGCAGAGGGTTCTCTCTGTGCTCTTCTAACCTTGACAACTAATAAATATTAACAACTGCATGTGTGCCCCCCCATACCTTGTGATGTTCACTGGTTACATGGGGCATTGTTTAAAAACATTTGTATGCTTATAGGTCCATTGTTTGTCAACACCTTGCGTCTTTGTATGTCTGTGCTTAGCCCAGTACCTGGCTCATGGAGAAGTCTCAGAGCGTGGTCGCTGTCCGGACCAGCGGGCATGCAGGGATGGCAACATACTTTCTGGAATTAAGCCTAGTCTTTGAAATCACCTGTCAGTTTTCTTCTCTTTTCTTTCTTTTTTTTTTTTTTTTGAGATAGATATTTTTTTAAATTTTTTTACATCATTTTGTACATTTTATTTTTTCATCTCAATTGTAATCCCCGTAGGTTTCCCATCACCAAGTCACCCGTGTGCCATCACCATAATCCCGTGCACTTCCCTCCCCACCCCCCCGTTTTTGATCCCATTCCCCACTCC